TCTCCACCGGAATCTCAACAAGTTCTCGCCAGAAGTTACTATTTCATTAAGGAAAGGGATGGAACCAGTGTTTAATAGTTTTGAACAGTGATTAAGTCAGTGAAAAACAACTCAACAGTAACAGCTGAGTCATACCAAAGCTAACCTTCACACAGTGAGGTCCCAGGTATCCAGTGATAACTGCCCCTGACTCAACAACACCAGCTATGTGTTAATCCTTCCACGATAGGGAGGCCTGGGATCACACCTCACTCACTTGAGTGAGTGAGGTCCTGTGACACCAGACCATGTGGAGTCCCCATGATGCTACGACACCACGTGGTGGATGAGTTGCTACAGTGTCATGTGAGGCCCCTCATAACACCATCTGTGAGGGAGTTACTATACTACATGTCTGCTGTTCAACACCTCAGTGCACAAGATCTATGTGACCACTGTAAACATTAATCTGTATGTTCACTGTATGTTCCTTTACCTTTCTCTAATGAAGGCTTTTGTTAAACCGCCAATGTACCGGTATGTAATAAGTCATTTAAGCCCAATGTATATTTTCAACCTTCGGGCTGCAGAACTTTTTCAATAAACTGTTAATTATTATTATCGCAAGCACGCACGCACTCACGCACACACACACACACACATATATATGTATATATATCATTGCTGGCTATATGAGTAACCATCATGTCACCAGATACCTTCTAAGGGTCCTAATATGCTAAGGAAGGAATCTGCTTATGCAGTTCTGAGTATGTGTAATGCATCCTGTCATAAATAATACCTAATCTCCTCATTATGTCCACCTGGAACCCAGGATAAGATGTGTATAGTTCAACTACCGGTAGTGGGAAGGGACTGAAAAGATTGGAGCAAGAGACCGAATGGTCAGAGTGGTCTCAAAATATAAAGAGCAGTTATGAGAGTTCTGACTCCTGAGCACAAGACTCCCTAAACCTTAAACAACTACTGATCCTGATTTGAATAAAATCTGACTGGATGAAAAGACTGTTTACAGCATGATCTTTAGTCCATGAAGATAATGTATTTCTCCAGCTAAGTAAAGCACTGCACACTTCCTCCGTAAAGGTAGGCACTGCCTTAGGGTACTTCATGGTACAGTGCTATCTTAAAGCCTACTCACAGCATATATAACAAATAAATTGGCCATTAGTCAGTCATACTCATAAAACATTTATTGTGTATTATCAATGTATCACCTTCTAAAGTGTTGTCAAGTTTCATGGAACAAATCTTCAGTAATTCTGTAAAATAGAGCTGAAAAAGGGACATACAAACAGACACACAGAAAAACAGATGAGGAACAGTCATATACAGTAGTCTCCACCAGTGAAACCAGTAGGACACTAATAATGCAAGAATCTACACTGGACAATGTTTATATATTCAGCAAGGTATCTTTGTGGATAAACCCACCTGTACCATTTGCATGATGGCCAACTACATCTACAGATAATGTACTACAGTAGAAACTCTGCTATCCACATATCTCAGTTCCTGACCATGTCTGGATAACTGAAAACTGTGGATGCCTAAATTTTCACTAGAAGTGTTTTGGTACTTTAATAATTTTACAATACTGTACTACATTCTATATAAAACATTTCACCTTGAGCTCAAATATGACATATACAGTGCTGTATACAGACCTACTATATTGCAGTACCTTTTTGCAATTCTCAAGATGACAATAATAATACCAATATTATATCTGTACAGTACAGGGAACAAATATTAAGAAGCTTGTACCAAAATATCAATGTTTTCATAATAAACCATGATATATAAATGCACTTTTTAAAAGTACTGTACAGTTTTATATGCCTATTAATCTACCTGCATCTAATGCTACTTAATATACAACTGTTTAAAATGTCAACCATTGAAATCACAATCCATCATGATTTACATTGAAGTAAATAAAATTTGCCAATGAGCAACCCATAAATTGTTAAGCTGTCATGTCACACCACTAAACGTTACTTAAAATGCAAAATTAAAAAATGTAATACTTCCTCCACTTCCATATTGTTTATGAAATTGATTATAACTATACGTATAGTTTTTTATTCTATAATGATTGGGTATTACAAAGTAAAGTAAGCTCCCCCTAAGAGCCCAAGTTAAGTGTTGTAAAATATTTTTATCTTGCTAATCATTCTCTATGCGGCTTCTAGTGGGAAAAATATCAATAGTATTAGTAACTTATGGGGATAAATAGGTTACTTTCCTGAGACCCTGAAGAGCCAGAGTTATCACACAGTTTGGTTATTTTTCAAATCATAGTTTTGGGGAGACATAAGTAATTTTCTTAATTTTTTTTTACTATTACATGCAGACACAATTTTTCATACAGAATGTGAAGAAAAAAATTATCATTAAGTCAAAAATATAAAGGAATCAAAATTTATGTGTGTGAGCTGTGACCTGATGTTGGCAACTGTCTCTACACCTAGCATCCACGAGGTTGGCCACCGTCCCTACACCTAGCATCCATGAGGTTGGCCACCGTCCCTACACCTAGCATCCACGAGGTTGGCCACCGTCCCTACACCTAGCATCCACGAGGTTGGCCACCGTCCCTACACCTAGCATCCACGAGGTTGGCCACCGTCCCTACACCTAGCATCCATGAGGTTGGCCACCGTCCCTACACCTAGCATCCACGGTTGGCCACTTGGAGGTTGGCCACCGTCCCCACCGGCATCCACGACCGGCATTTGGCCACCGTCACCTAGCATTTGGCCTACCGTCCTAGTCTCCACAGGACCGGCATCCACGGTTGGCCACCGTCCCTACACCTAGCATCCACGAGGTTGGCCGCCGTCCCTACACCTAGCATCCACGAGGTTGGCCACCGTCCCTACACCTAGCATCCACGAGGTTGGCCGCCGTCCCTACACCTAGCATCCACTGATGTTGGCCGCCGTCCCTACACCTAACATCCACGAGGCTGGCCATCTCAAAGCAAGGATGTGTTGTTCCAGTAACCAATTTACAGTACTGTACTGTATTGTACTGAACTTACTGATCAGTCAAACGGTAATTCTTACTATTAAAAAAAAAATAACAAAAAAATGGTTCAAAACTTTTGCAATCACTGCCAGCCTCCATCAGTTTTGAAAATCTTCTATAAACATGTGCTTACTGTGGTCTTTAGTATTTAAAAGTAACACATCTAGTTCTGCTGCTGCCTTCAGTCAGTACCCAAATATAAAATAAGATTCAGATCATGCCAATGCTCTCAGATACACACTAGGTAATTCTAGATTGTTATTCAATTTCAGAGACACAATAAATTTGCTGGGGCCTCCATATCATTGGTACATTGGCAAATTGACAAAAACAAAACTGCACTGAATTGTCTGATTTTAAAAGGAAAATGTAAGAGTACTGAATAGCCAAACTTTCCATTTCACAGGAGCAAATTCAAATTAATGGGAAGAGAAGCATGATCTGAATCTCATTTTATATTTGGGTACTGATACCAGCAAGTGTGACACTGCTAAAAAAATTTGTTGGCTTCTGGGGAGTCATGCACAGCACACTACTTAACAGACATTGAAAAATCCACTGCAACTCCACTGTGGAATTAATTTTATTTTTTTTACATATATCTGATCAATATTGTCTGGAAAAGGTTTACATGTAAAACTGCTGATAATCTGACTAAGCAGTCAGGGAAAAGCAACCGTACAGATGTAAAAATGCAGGTGGTGACAGGTGAGTGTCACAGTGTTATGAATCTTAGCTTGGGTTTGGCTACCTCAACCATTTGAACCGTTCTCAAGAATAAAGACAAGATAAGAGCTTCCGCACAATCCACCACGTTAAGAAGAACAAACAAGACAAGAAGCTCAAGGAACATTTTACTGGAGTAAATGGAGAGCCAGTTGGGCATCATGTAGGACTGTTAGGAGCAATAGCAGGCAGTTGTCTATCTTATGCCAACTTTAACCCAATGTGAATATGTAACTTATTAAATTTTTCCGTGTTCACTATCATCCAAAATTATTCTTTTTATTTACAAAAAGGCTTCAATATACTTATCATGTGTATGGTATCAATATTGGTGTTATTACCATTGCCCAATGAAGCCCCCATATAAGTATATAGAATCGTGCTGTCAAGAACACATCTCTATTGGAACCATGTTATACTGACTTGTTATAGAGATGCTTCTTATTGTACTCTAATTCCCAGAAAAACATCTATATCTGGAGCACTTATAAGAGGTATGCCTGCATAAGAGTTTTACTTTGAAAACAGCGATGATGATTTGTTTTGTACTGCCAGCTCATGAGAATCAGTGACAATGATGTGGAAGTATTTGTGTTGCAAACCCACAGCAGATTTTAAGAAAGAAAGTTTGTGCAGAGCCAATATACATAAGCAATCATAGAGAATTGTTTGGAATTGCTTTGGAGTGTTGTACGGCTGGGTGTAAGCATCACATGACATTCACTCGATAGTGACTGGTAAAATTCAATCAGTTCCCTTGAGAAATATTTGCTATCATTAGATATCATTTTCTAAATTAGACACTGGCACTGTATTACATCATTCTTTGAGGGGGCTTACAGCATACTAGTGTATATATAGACTGAACATAGCAATAAATAACAATTACAAATCACTGGTAGAGCCTGTTACAAAAACTTGAGAGAGGCAGTTAGTGAAGCAAGTAGAGGTATAATCTTGCTGAAGTGTTTCAAATTATTCTTTTGACTTGAGATTTACCAAAGCTTATAACTACATTACATTACTTTTTTTGAACAAGGCTAAGCTTTTAAAGGAGTTCTGACATTACTCTTAAAATACAGTACTGTACTGTAGTTGAAATATACCAACACCTGTATGAATAATGAATCTTGTAGTTAGTCAATATGCAGATAGTTGAATTTCTACTGTACAGGTACAAGAAAGAGGATTCACATGCAAATACAACAACACCATAAATTTACTATAACAGTTTCCTATACCTGAACCTTTGCTGTCTGCGCAAGATTCTGTGTATAAAAAAAATATGCATTATGAAAGTAACCTGGGCCAATACAGACATTAAAAAATATACTGTGGACAATTCTCAGCTGAATTTTTCATTTTATTTCCAATTGAAGCTCCTTTAACAATACTGAGATTGGAAAACATGCCTTATATAAAACAGTTAAATATTATGCAATGATTAAATCTAAATATTGTACACAAACATTTGGCTCAACCTGCATTCTTTGTAAAAAAATATTATCTTTCATAATTACCAAAAGAAACTTATTTCAAATTAATGCTGGAAACAATTTACTGTAGTCAATCTTCTACAGTACATAAAAATAATAATGGTAAATTGATCCTGAAACCTTATTAGTACTGTAAAGTACAGTACAGTATATATTGTAACTGGGTCAGGATTGAGCAACTGTATAGAGTTAGTCAGTAAGTCTACAGGTTAAAAGTCCAGTTCTCTGGGATTTACCGGGACCTGTGACTGAGATTTAACATTCCGAATAAATTAGAAATATATATATACAGTACTGCATCATCTTTCACCTTCCAACTGGATCTTGAAGGATAACCACTTGGTAAGTAGGTACCCTTAAAAGAAAGAAGGCTTTAGACTTTTGTTGCTGAGCATAACATCAGACACTCCAATGTGTTCATCTATTTATTGACACTGGCAATCTAAGTGTTCCATTAGGATCAATACCTTCAAATCCAGCTCATCTCAGCACCCTGAAGGGAAGAGGGAGAGATAGATGTTGAGTTGCTCAATCCCAATTCACTTATAAAATGGAATTTCAGGATCAATCCTCCATCTATAACCTTCAATCTTGGATTGAGCAATTCCATACATTTAAGCCAATGTGAAAGGAAAGTAGGAGGTTCCAACAGGCTTCAGGAGCCATGTCAGCATGTAGCCACACTTGGAGTATTACATAAGGGGAACACTTAAGCTCTCTAACTAGTTACTGCCAACAAAAATGGTAGCTCCTCAGGTCATCTAAGCCACAGTGTTTATAAAGAGTGGAATAAGTGTTAAAGAAGGTCGTGTTTCTGAGACGAATTTGCGATGTCAGCCTGTAGCACTGTGCATTGTAGAATATATTAGGAGATCCAAGAGTGAGGTTTAACTCACAGGAAAATCTCTTTATCCGGCACCTCTCAATCCCCGTAGATGCTGGATAACTGCGATTCTACTATACAAATTGCTAGGCACAGGGAGCCCCTCAAATTCGCGGATTTTTATTCTGAGGTTTTCTATTATTCGCGGATGACACCCTCAATATACCTAAGAATGTCACAGCTGGGACAGGGAGCTATATGTTCTAGAGACAGTAATTCCTTTACCTGTATTTTAAATGTGTGTGTGTTTGTGTGTGTGTTTGTGTGTGTGTGTGTAGGCAAACACACACAAAACACATACAAATAAATAATAATGGGAAAATGCTCACAAATAATCAGAAACAAATTTATTGAAAATGTGAGTTTACCCTCAAGTCCATGCTTTATTACTTTATTAATAAAACACGGACTTGAGAGCAAGCTGTCACATTTTTAATAAATTTGTTTCTGATTATTTGTGAGCATTTTCCCATTATTATTTATTTGTATGTGTTTTGTGTGTGTCTACACACACACACATAGATACAATACAGGTAAAAGAAATAATTGTCCTAAGGGCAAACACATAAAGGGTATATAGATTTCTTTGTACATAAGTAAAAATGTAACCCCCCCCCCAAGTCAGCAAATGTTACTTGCGGATTTGGCGATTCACGGCCATTTTGAGAACCTAACCCCCACGAATTTGGGGGGCCTACTGTATAGAGTATTTTGAGTACTTTGGCAGCCAAACATTAAGTAGAGTTATTATACAATTACAGTACAGTACATGTATGTACTTGTTTACTTACGTGTACCAATAATGAGCATCTAGCAGCGTAGTCCTGTGCACCAATCAAACCAAAGAACAATTGGGGGAAACACCTCTGTGTTGTGATGTCAACTTAGCAGGATTAACGTTAACAGATTTTTCATTTCATCATTAATTTGAAGAACAAAGAAATAGAAGGTTACTTTAATATATTAGTAATACTGGATCACCTGAGGAATCATCACCCTGCCATAACCTGACCTAACTTGACTCCACCTAAAGAAATGTCATCTCCCAGAGTGTCCGCCAGCACCCCAGCTGCTCCTGGGTGACGATTATTCAGGTGATCCTTAATATTGATATAAATAGCAATGCATTTCTCGTAAATTAAAATCTAACTGATTTTGGCTGCATTTACTGTACTGTAATCAGCGGCCAAGTTTTGGGTCTGTCCAAGACATCAATGGACATACTCTAATGCAAACACGATTTATTTTTTATAAGTCATATAAGAAATTATTCCATTAGCTTTTCTTTGAAATTTAATACTGTATATACAGTATACAGGTGTATAAAATTCAGAAAGTGATATTTTTGTTATTTTATGAGTAAAGAAAAATATTTGTAATTACAAAACGTTTCATATGATTTAAAAAAATGGAAATACAGTTCATAATATTTGGGAAAACATAACATGTTTGTTTAAGAGAAGCATTTCCATATTTTTAGTGTGCAAGTCTATTTTACCTTTTATATTGTATCTTTATACATAAGAGGGTCTATGAAATACTATAAAATGAAATTAAAAACAGTAAATGCATTTCCTTTTTGCAAAGTACTGTATTCAAAACAACCATTATAGGGCACACCAGTACTTGGTATTGGTGCTCGATACCACTGATAACAAAACAAAATTACTCGCAACACCCATCACTAGCCTTAGCAACATAGCAGCGTTCTTAGCGAAGGCGCTCCGCTGCGGACCCATCGTCCTCCACACACTCGCCACCCTTAGATAAGTAAAGCTCACAGGTGGAAGTACGTGGATGACTGCATTGTGGGGATTACAGTGGACAACACCTCACCGGACTACTCATCGCTACAAGGCACCTTGGACAGGCTGCAGGCATGGACTATGGAGAACAAGATCACCATCAGTCATGCACATCAATACCGCCACCACTCCAGTGCAAGCTCCAGCAGTCACAGTAGGTGCCCATCCTCTCCAGTTAGTGCAGTCTGCCAAACTCCTGGGTGTTACCATAGACCACAAACTGAACTGGAAGGCCCAAGTAAATAACACAATCAAGGCAGCCTCGTACCGACTCTACATGCTACGACGACTTAGGGCACTTGGGGCACCCAAGCCAGAGCTGAGGACTATCTACAACGCCTTTATTCTCCCCAAACTAATGTATGCGTCACCAGCCTGGTCGTCTTCTCTCAACTCTACCCAACAACGTCAGCTAGAGAAGGTACAGAAAAGGGTCTGCAGAATCATGCTCGGCGCAGACTACTCCGGCTACAACAACGCTCTCTCCACCCTGGAAATGCCATCCCTCAGTGACCTCCACCACCAAGCACTAGCAAGGTTTGGCAGTGGACTACTGCACCATCCTCGTCATCGCCACCTCCTGCCACCGGCAGTCCCCCGCCCACCTCGCGCAGTCTGCCACTACAACAAAATTCAGCCCATAAGAGCTCGCACTGATAGATATAAAAATAGCACCATCCCAGCTATTGTTAAAACAATAAACAACTCCTGATTCATGTACTGTACAGTCCTGTAAATGTATTCAACGCATATCATTATGTCTAAATCAAATGTAAGTTTGTATATTTTCAGCCACCGGCTGCAACTCTATTAATAAACCGTTTATTATTATTATTATTTAAAGCTAACTTATGACAATTATTTCTTTTTGCATTTTCTGTTTGTAGGATTATGTGTGCAAGTAACTAAGTAAAAATAAAAAGAAGAAAACTCTGCATAAATTCCTAAAATTACAGGTTGAAAAATAATCATAGCTAAGGCTATTAGAGAGAGGCCGCGAGGGCCAAGGGGATGAGGCACACGCTTTGGATCGCACCAAGTGATGGAATAGGGGCAGTAGCTCAAGGACAATTAATATAGTGGGTCCTCACTATTTGTATGGAATTAGTTCTTAAAAGTCCATACAGTAAGTATAAGGATTATATGAAAAACGAAGGTTTTAAAGGTTTAATATATAAATATAAAACAAAGACTGTCGATCAGCTGATGAAAACGTAGTTTCCTGTTGTCAATAGATGTCAAGAGGTCCATCACTACACTGTTCACATATGACATGAGTCCCTGAATTTAAACAAGTGTAGTCCAGGAAGCAGTTGTTCAGACTCAAGGTTACTCATGTTGTATTTGTTAACAAGTAGTAATGGCGTTGATGTAAGAGAAGGCGGTATCTTAACAATTGTTTACTTTATTATATTACCCATGGGTTGTTTTTCCAACAGTACCTACAGTGCTGGAGTGTATCCTCATCACCTTTAGTGCAAGATCATTAAATATGGCTTTAATATTTCATTTCTTGGAGAAGCATTAAATATTCTTAATACTGAATGTTTTAGTATACAAATTTTTAAAGGATTACTGGTAATAAATAAATAAAAATCAAATGAAGACAATTGACCAGCTTATGAAAACGTAGTTTCCCTCACCCTTAACAGATGGCAGCATAAATGGGCACGTCATCTGCTCACAGATATTTCTAATTACTGTACAGTAATAATATCTATTATCTTATTGCCTCCTGCAAATTATTGAAGGTATGAACATGAAATACACAAATAATCAAGGATTACTTTAATTTTTATGATGTTCAATACAGTATATAAGTTGTTATCAGATATGGTCATTATATAAGATCATAAACAGTGTAAGTGTAACTTATGTAAACAGTGTATCAAATGCAAGGATTTGTCAGACTGACGGTAATTTTTATCCATATAACATAGTATGGCATACATATAACAAACTTTTGGTGAGGTGCTTCCCTGCCTGGAGTACTGTCACCCCGTCTGGTGACTGCACTTCGGCACCTCAGCTACCCTGAGAGATTAGAGCGCCTGCAATTGTCTAGCTTATACTACAGATGGGCAAGGGGGGGGACCTAATTGAGGTGTATAAACATCTCAAAGGGCACTACTCAGTCGAGTGCCCTTACCTGGAGCCGGCAGATGCTTGCCCCACAAGGGGTCACAACTCAAGATTGAAGAAGCCACAAGTCCAGAAAACTGTGAGGGTGAACTTTTTCGGAGTGAAAATTGTGAAATGTTGGAACAACCTGCCAGACCTAACCTAACCTGTCAAGACCAAACTTGATAGGTACTGGAGCAGGTCCAGATACATTCAGCAGCCAGTGCATGCCCAGTACTTGCCAACAGTGTGTAACAATGACGTGACCGACAGCCCAAGCAGCTAATGAGTCAATCAGTGGTGAGGAAGATAAAAGTATAAAAGTAAAAGTAAAAACTGCTACACGTATAACTGAGTACAGTATACGTACTGTACTCTAATTGTACGAATAACAACCCTTGTACCTTGGTTTGTGTGGCCACAGAATATACAATGATTAAGCTATCACAAATATAACACTTTACAATCTGCAAAGTACAGTAACTGCAAGAGATTAACATCTGTGTTGTGCAAAGGGTGACTGTGACCTAAAGCAACCGATGGCAACAGATGAACAAATTGAAGTAATCTGGCTTATGCTCACAGCAAAACTCCCAAGTCATCTTCCCATTTAGAATACCTTCTTACCAAATGGGTACCCTTTGGGACCTGACATGAAGGTAAAAGATAATCTAATAATAAAATTTATCCAGTTTTCAGATCCCACTCATAAGAAAAGGCTCTGGGGTCAAGGTTCTGACTCCTGGACAATATTGTACAGAGTTCTTCAACCCTGACACATGATTCATACTGAAGTCAGAAAATGAAAAGTGGTGCCACAAATATAAATGTTTAATGAAATTTGTAATACAGATCATGATGAAGTAAAAAGAATGAGTAAATTTTCATTCATAAGGAGGCATGAGTATAGTCACGTGGAAATTAAGTATTTCACTTCCTATACATGACATTTCTAGTAAAAAAACAGTTAATGTGTTTATTATTGATGTGGTTTGCAGCCAACTGTCTTTACTCACCCGGGTGTCACCTGTACTCTACAGTACGTATATATTACTGCACGTTTGATGAGTTTGGAATACTACACGGAGAAAAGATCTACAAACTTTAAGACAATAGTATTCCAGTATGACAGACTTCCATAAAGCAGTATGAATAAAAAGGCAAGAAATTAAGAAAAAAGCAATACTGTACTGTATTCAATATTTGGGGTAGAATTTTTTCTCATTTCTATAAAGAAACTTCCATACTGGTAAATCTATATACTGTAAATATTATCATTAGTATTAGTAGGCTCATGAGGACTATTTCAAAGAGTGGCAACATGTGCAATAGTGCTTTTAGTTTTATACTAATTTAAGTATTTCTGCATTCCCACCAAAGAGTACTCACAACAGCCATGCATATTAACAACAGTGTCCACTGTATTCTGAATACTGTACTGTACATTAATCACCGTGTCTAAATAAAAAACCTATTGCATTACAATACTGTACTGTAAAACCAAAATATTTATTATTAACCTGAGGGTGTCTAGCAGAAATATTGTATCAAACTAATGATTTAGCTAACTCTCTCAAGCAACACTTGGAAGTTGTGTGTACTATCTCTACTGTTAGCAAGAGATCAATTTACAGAACTGAGACTCCTTACCTTAGCAGATTGAGCTAAATTCTGGGTGCGAGTGTCAATAATATAGCCTCGTTTTTCTCTTGCTAGCACACTGTTCAATAGCCGCTCATCCTCTTTACATCTTTTGCCATTGGCTGAAATGAGAGGCTGTCCACTTCTGAGGAGAATAGCCTGAAATATGAAATGAATCAACATTTAAGAGTTTGTCTCAATGAATCAAGTAATATATATTATATGTCAAAGCCCAATATAGTGGATTCTTAGGCTTAGGCATACGCCCATGTAGGAAACCTGTCTTACTGGCTTCTAGTACACAAGTCCTGCTTCTTTGAGCTGTTAGAGGATTGATAGAGTGATAAGAAGAGTGAAGCAATGATACAGTATGATAGAACTTACACTATACTGTACTGGGATATTAGCAATGACATGTCAGGGATGGCACCTTGCTAGCTGGCATAATTATGTGGGAATGTTCACACTGACAAGACAGATGTAAAATAATAGTGAAGTAAAAATCAATAATGAAATATGTCTTACCGATCCTTCATGACGATATGCTAAGACAGGGAAACGACCAGCTTGACGGAAGTTAGCAATCGCTACAAGGTCATTATCTTCAATGTTCTTCGGCACCACAACAGCACTTGGGTAAGATGGACACACCTGTATAAAGTTAATTTTGTAGAAATATCAAAAGTTTTCATGAACAATATTAAGGAAACAACTGTGATGCAGTGAAGTAGCAATAATTCATGAAATATAAATTCACATTCTTAAAATTCACAGGTACAGTTCCTCTATTGCAAACTATATTTTTAATTTTGCGGTAAAATATTCATAATTTGCAGCTGAGCACTGGCTGCCACAGAGTTTATTTATATGAAAGTGGGCCCTAAAAATAATGACTGCCCACTAGAGATAGTGTGGACACTGCATACTAAGCCTTCGTAACACAAGGAAGCAGCATGATACTGCACTTGACCACAATCACTTCCCTCAGTTGTGAATTTAGGTACCCATTTAAAGCTGGGTGAACTGGGACCGCCTGGGAATTAAACCACCGACCCCTGGAACATGTGAGTGCTGTATCCACTCGACTGATGAGCTCCTTTATTTCATAAGAAACCATAAAAATTGTGGAAATATAATTTCAATGCTCAAATTTTTTCTGTTATAATTTTCACCACTAATCAGCTTAGTAGCCATTTAGGTGGTTGGTCTATCCAGTGTTAGTAGAGGGTCACAGTGGATAACACCCTTCTCACGTGTGTCTGGGCCAACCAGGACTTGAACCCTTGACATATGGAGAGATATGCATGCCTTACTGCTGTACCAACAACACCCACCAAGACTTCAAGAAATAAAGAAAAATAATATAAATATCATTTCATTGCTCTAAGGTGAATTAAACTAAAGAAAATATACAGTAGTATAAAACAAATATACAGTACCAGAAAAAATGAAGAATGGAGAGTGAATTCTGTACAATTTCACCACAATTCTCCTAATATTTAGGTTCATTTGGTACCAAGTAAAAAAAAAAAAAAAAAAAAAACAGTATTGTATTGTAAAATAATAAATTTTCCCACCAAAATTCCACATTCAACCCCAGATGAGTTAATGTGTGGTATTAAATTCCCAGTGCAGTCACAGCCAGCCTGTCTGTATGTTGGGGTATTGGTGTAACTCATAGGAAGGTCATAAGAAAGGAAGGAGCCGTTCATGTAATATAGAACTACTTTTTGTACAATATTTATGTATTATTGTATTTTTATCGGTATTATGTACAATATCAAGTGTTTATTAAAGCAACTTTGGAACAGTTCATGCATATTTTTTGGCCTCCTGAACCAAACTAATTATTTCCATTTAAATCAATTAAACTATAACTGGCAACTTAATAATTCATGATGTCTTTTGGTATCTAATCCGCAAATTATCATGACTCCACTGTATTTTTCCTCCTAAAACATACTGCTATAATTTTATTGTAATTAAAAATAATGAAAAACATCAAACAAAGCTCATATACTGTACTGTACTGTAAGGTACTATTAATACTGTACCTTATAATCCTTGTTGACATATGATATCCTCCAGTCATCCCCTGGTTGAACCAAGCGGGAAAACTCAGACTCTGGCAGAAATGTTGTCCAACCATCTTCTAATACTGTGTACATAGCACGATAGAAGAATGGATACTGCAGCATTGGATCCTCTGTAAAAATAAATAAATTAATAAACATAAAAAAAGAGATACAGTACATAAGATATCCTAATTAAGTTTGAAGAAACAAAACAGGTAAGTTACTAGATCTATCTTTGATGAGTGTCTCCCTTACAGAGCCTTCCATTACCTAGGGAGCAAATTATGCTATTTAATCACATGGGTTGTGCCTCAACCCCATTCAATTCCTTACCTAATCTAGAGTTCTGTTCATGGGAGGAATGATATAATACAGGGTCCAGATTCACTAAAGGGTTCCAAACTTCGTAAGCGCTTACGGAGTTCTTATCTCCTGTGAATCCACAACCCTATTTAAAATGGCTGATTTTTATTCATAACATACGGTGGCTCCGGAGATCTCGTAAAATTTTAACAAGGAAGAAATAAGGTCATGTAACTCCTGTTTTCTCTACTATGTAACCCGTACCAAAACACAGAGCTGCCAGATGTACTTTAAGCGTCACTAATTACAGTGAAGTTGTGAAGATGGAACTAATGATTGGTTTAGCCCATGACCATGCACTTCAAGGATCCTTTGGACATAGATATTGTATTGGTTGAGTAGCAAGGTCTCATGTGCTCCCAACACATACGTCTGTGTTAATACCTTTGAAGTTTTTCGTATGTTCTAGTTTCCAGAGTATAGTTGATGGTGTTACTGTGTCAAGATTTATAAAGTGACATTTGCTCTAAACTTATAATAATAAAAACAACAATGGAACATTATTATTACAGTATTACTACTGTACTATCACAGTATTATTATTATTATCATTATTACTATTTTTATTATTTTATTACTAATAATATTAATATTAGCAAAAATCTCCATAATCTATTTTGTTCTATAAATATTGTCAATAGAGCTCATGTCATGTTCACTTGACATGGTCTTCTGTTGTTGTGACATGATTGGCTTCTGCCTCCTACTCAATTATGTATCAGTCACAGGACTAACATGAAGAACAATGTTTCAATGGCTGTTGTGACAGTACAAAATGTCAATTCTTTTGCCTCAAAGTTATATCAAAACTAAAACATGTTTATCTACAGTACATTCAAGAGACTGTGCAAGCCCAGGACCTACCAAGAGAGTGTATCAGGGAACAGAACAAATTCTCAAATGACCGGTTAAATGATAAGAGGCAAAGAGCATAAGTGGCTATATAAGTAAGCACCAGTCTTCACTCCAATTGTAACAAAATGTCATTGGTGATTATGGTATTAATTTATTCCAAATAACAAGATTGTTAAAAACATTAAACTGCAGAATGGTAATAACAATGATATATTTGTATTGTACAAGAAATCTGCATAAGCTAACTAATATTATTATGCAAAACCATTGCCCCTAGATACATACCCACTCGTATGAGATCCTCCAAAGTGTCTGCTACTTTAGCAAACTGGTCAGCACCTATGACATCCAACTGTAGAATGCGCAGATCTTTACATTTCAGCCAGAGTGTTCCCCCAGTCATTCCCTGCTGTCTTCTCTCCACTGCATCAATATTACTGTGTAGCAACTGTAATAATTTATAGAGATAAATTCAAATAAGTATTAAACTCAAACTTCTTGCTTACAGACACAGGGATGATCCATCAATACCGACTAAACTGTTCCATACATTGTATTCTGGTAACCAGTGAACAATCCTCCCACTAACCAATAATCTTAACTACTATTCTAGTGTGAATCTGACAATATCCTGAGGTTTTACATAAATAGTTCTGAAAGCTGGTTTAGCTCAAATAATGTGAAGCATGAGCTCAAGAAACAGCAACAAGTAGTTACAGATAAACACGGGAAGTAGGGGAGAAGGACAGCATGTGAAATACTACAGGTATGAGGAGAATAGAGGAGTTAAGACACAAGATGAGTCAAGGGGCAAGGCTGGGAGGATGGTCAAGATTGAGATGGATTGACATTATAGGCTAATTATTGAAGTCTTGAGGTGTCACAATAAAAGAAACAAACATGATAAAACTGATTGATCATATATACTGTAGATCCATCATGTAACAGTCAACACCGGTACTGTACTCAGTGTTTACTGCCCTCTGTGCTTTGCTGTTTTCCTTCATTTAATGCTGGGATATCCCCAACATTACATGAGGGATACCTGTATACATATGCTGTATATGGGTGTATGTATGAATGTTAGCTCAGACATATAAAGCCATCAGAAAATGTATGTATTGGTGGATGTATGTTAAGAGAACTGAGTGTACACACTTAATTAAAAGAGTTTTTGTATTGTACATTTTTTTATAAAGGAAAATTATTTTAATACATTTACTGTACCTGTAATGCAGTTTTGCATCAAGACACGAGTTTTCAGTAATGGAACCCTTGAGATAAACAAGAACGACCTCAAAGAAGAAGGATAAAAATTAATATGGACATAATTAGTGTTTCATCATCATCTTCACTATCAATGTGTAACATCAACAAATGGGAAAATATTTGAGAACATTAGTCTCAATCAAAAAACTCTTAATATCCACAAAATTCACCCATAATTCTTCTGGTTCCTCTCCACGTGCTGATACAATTAGATGGTGACCAGTGATGCAGAGGGTGCCATCAAGTACAGTGTGGTGTGGCCGGTGTAACATGACGCGGTCACACCGTGATATACGGATTAGTTCTGCAAACTCCATGTTTCCTGTAATGACAAGAAAAATATTATTCACACCAAATAACAACTTCTTCACACAATAAGGGGAAAAGCATCAGGAAAAACTTTATACAGATCCATACAAATTATACGGTAGAGTTATAGTTAACTGACACAGTTGATCATTGTGTAGGTATAAACACACCTAACAGAGAGGAGTTGTTCGAGTTTGTTCATTTTATAAAAGAGGCAATATTTACTAGAGCCTAACCGAACCTGACCTAACCAACCAACCAAAGCTACTGAACATTACCCAACTTCCTCGCCAGAAGTGCTCAGCAAATCAGAGCGCACTCACAGTAAAATAATATTAGTAGAAACTTAGTTGTTCATGGCAAAATATTCACTATGTATCAACCAAGGTTAGGTGAGGTTTTGTAGTGGATGTCTCCTCTACAAACTAACTGCGTAGCTGCACACCACCTGCTATCACATTCCAATGTGCCGCCTTCCCTAGCAACCAACCAGATGTTACCGTATCTTAGCAACGAAACTAGTCACCGGCTACTTCTCGGGTTTTCCCACCATGACTCATAGCGGCTGCTGCGGGGTATATAAGCTCTGTCTCTCCATTGAGATTGATTCTGAACAAGCAACATCTCCTCCAGCAAGCTCCACGCTGTTAACATTTCATTCAACCAGGAGGCCAGCAACAGGCAACACCTTCTCTAACGAAGCTCCTGCACATCTACCTCCTTCAACACGATACTCCCGAACGTCTTCTACTGAGCTGCTCCCCACCACATGGCATCTCCAGCACCAGACTGTCTATCATATAACTTATATATATTATATAAGAAAACCACATTAGAGTTTCCTTCCATCCTGAGTGCTAGACAACATTAATATCTCGATACCCCTACAGTTTCATTTAGAAATAACCACTTTTTAACACATTTACCAAATCTACAACAGTGCCACTATAAAACCAGCAAAATTCCAGCGTTTTTTAATCAGTTTTCCATGACAAATCGGCAGCGGGTCAGTCATCCACAATTACTGAGTTGATAATTAAAAGAAAACCCAGGAACCATAACTGTACTCCTCACATGAAGGACTGCTGTCGTGGGAGAATGTTAAGTTTCCCAAGCATGATTTGTTATTCTTACAAGAAATTTTAAAATTATCTGATACTGTATTATAAATTCATTGCTTTGGATAAAATTAATGACACGGATGTTCTTTAAAAACAATAATATACATTTTAAGATAACGGTTGATATGAATAATAAAATGTCTTTATGGCATAAGTACAACAACTACCATTATAAACTACTGGCCTGGAGAGATATACATGACAAAGAGCAGTTATAAGCATTACCAGCAGCTAATATAGAAGAGGAAGAAGACAATGACAGCAGCCCTCAGCGCCCAGCCTCGCCCACACACCTCCAGCTGGTTATTGACAGTCGATAGAATCTTTAATAAATTATTCTTGCGTGCAATTCTGTCCTTTTAAATTAGGTTCATATATTTTGTATTATAAAGCTAATCTATTTTTCTGGAATTTAACAATTTAAGAGAAAAATACAAGAAAAACCTTTTAAGTATGCGGATGAATAGAAACAAACTAATCTATACGCGACAAGCAATTTTGAAAGCTCTTTGTGTGTAATATTGTAGTATAAATCATTATTTATATCAACCTACATGATAAATACTCTCAAATGCTACATTAATTTTGTAAAAATATGTTTTGTGATCCGGAATTAGAATATTGTGATGTGGACGAAAGTACATATTGGGTCAAACATTTTTATGCGCTGTAAAAATAATATTCGTTCATTTCTATATGAATGAAATGTTAATCTTAGTCATGTTATTTCAGATAGATTTTTACATAAGTTTCATAAATATTATTGTTCCAAAATTCTTAAAGCAAACCTTCAGTGTAGGGGCATTCTTTTTATGCACCAACTGGAAAATCTATTTGTCAGTAGAACTGCAGGAAAATTAAATTAATTGTTTTAGAGAATAATAGGTTACTAATAAATGTTCTTTGTTCATGTCAAAAAGCTACCGCGAATAATATTGTGAAACCATATGTTTTACTTGCGATTTGCAAAAATATCCTAAGGTATTCAAATTACAATACGACTTTCAAGTTAATCTGATAAAAATAAACAAATGGCCTTTTGGTGTTCATATGCTATTCAGATGAAGATTTTCTTGTAGCACTGATCAGATATAAAAGTTTAAGATCGCGACCTCTCATCGAAAATCCCTGCTCTTCCTGTTGGCAACACTGTGTAGCTGTGAGTCACTCCTGCTTCTCTTGTCCCATAAACTTATTTTCTTGATAGTTTCGTTCACCATGAATACAACACCTGGTGAGTACAGATTCCATCGTTTAAAAGCATGAATATATCTTTAATACAGTGGGTATGGTATTTTATGTCACTGCGATTTATGAAAACTTTACCCCAAGTGAACTGGTCAACTGTCAGCGGTGTGTGGGACGGACTAGGTGAATGGCCGTCAGATTGACTACTTTGTGTATGTCATTGCCCGGCTATAGGCAGAATTTGTACACATGAATAAATATTACCGTTTTACTTATTCACTTATTTTCGGTATTAGTATAGATAAGGCCTAAGGTCACTCTGTCCAGTGTGACCTGACCCAACATGCTCTCAGGTCACTCCGGTTACCTTCTGTACTAACACTGGAGCCATGGCAAACGTCTCACTGGACCATTCGGAGTTCAATTACCGAAAGATATCAGAACATCTGTATAATTGATTAATTTATATTATATAGAAAGCTAAGGTGTAATTTAATAGAACTTTATAAGCACCCTCAGTCACGTGCACACATCTGCTATCCCACTAGAGGTCATAAATTCCAAGTTAAATAAGTTAACAGTACAGACAAATATCAAAGCTAACTTTAGTGGAGAAAGAGTTGTAAACTCTTGGAACAATCTGCCAGAGAGTGTTGTGAGAGCACCGAGTGTGAGCTACTTAAAGGCCAGACTTGACCAACACTGACATATACACGCCAAGTCCTTGCTAACATTGTGTAACAGAGGACAGACCAACTACCTTATTGGCAATTAAGCTGACAATTGGTGAAGAGGATATATAAAGTAGTTATGTTGAGAGATGGGCATTTAAATAGTTATCATTCTTGTAACTGTCATCGTAATGATTGTCCTCTGAGGTCCTGTGGCAAATTATTAGGTAAAGATAAAGTAGACGGCTAACACCACAAGTTGTTTGAGTTTGTTAATTTTTTCCACATGTTCTTTGGGTGATGGTCAATAATAATAACGATACGACAATTTTTTATTATTAATATTTTTATTTATTTTTTTATGGTCATGAAGCATTAGGGAAATTGAGTGGTAAAATACGGTGAAAAACTGATCATATGGCACTAAAATGATGTCTCTGTGTGCTTTGTATGTGAAGAATTTAGCTTCCGTAAATATTCCGCTAAAAAATTTGCTGTCGGTCTCGTTTGCTGTTCGCTCTTAGTTTGTTTAAGTAATCAGTCGTACAGTACTCTCATGTCCACAAAAAAACATAAAATTGCACCATGCCGCTTCAAGAAATTTGCTTATTGGTACAATACTAAATATCAAAGTACCGGTTAGTTCTTTCAGTTTCATATCCCAGGCATTCAGGGGCCTGGCTAGGAAGTTAAGTTAAGTAAAGTTAGGTTGGTTAGGTCAGGTTCTGTTAGGTTCTGTGCATTGTCGTATCCTTGTTATTATTATCACCCAACGAACATCTGTGGAAAAAATGGCCGAAATTGAACAACTCCTTCTTGTGTTTGTCGTCTGCTCTACCATTACCAATTATTATGTTGTATAAATTATCAAAATTTAAGTTTCTTCATATAGTGATGACATTTATAGCTAGGTAAAGATTTGTTTTAGTACACCATGGAAACTACTACCAAAAGTAGGTTTTTCCAAGTGAATTTTGTGTTTCAAATGAATCTGAAAGAGAGCAAAAGATATCTGAGAGAATTACACATTTAATTTGTGGAATCTGTAGCACATAAATAAAGAAAATTTTACACAGAAACTAAAACAATGGGATCTAGAACGGTGGAGGAATGGCATGGAGACAAAAACAAGCATTACACTACTACCATATAAAGTGTGGAAGGAAGGCATTGGGAAAGGAGAAAATATATATGGCATTACTCCGGCTTCAACTATTTTATATAAAGCTAGATCAAATACACTGTCATTAAGGGAGCAGAATTTACACCAAGACCATTAGAACAAAACATAAACAGTTTGTGAAAATGGAGTAGAGATTATGGAACAGTTTAAATTTGAATGCATCGGATGTAAGAGTGAAAGATGCAAACTGAAGAAATTACAATACTGCAATCATATGAAATTAATGAGACATACCACTGGTAAAGTACTACAGTATTCTGATTTGAAAACTTGCAAGAACCACAAGATGTAAAGAATACATTACACAGATTTTGGAAAATTATCGAGTAAACATTGAAGGAGCTTAGTGAGCAGTGAACTCCAAAGATAAGGGGTGCTGCAACACCCTGCACAATCATCACATGACATCTGATGAACCTTCCTAATGACGATTTGATATACTTTAGGATAGTTTAGTTTCATTAGTTGATTTTGGCCAGGAATTAAAATGTATTGGTACATAAAATATTTGGGAAAGTCACCAGAAGCGTTGTGTGTTAAAAACATTCACTGGATGCATTCGTATGTAAACATTGGGTCACTTTTATGCTCTTGGTCACTTGGGTTATCGGTCACGTCTCTGTTAAGCACGGTTGGTAAATACCGGACGGCAGGATGTTGTAGATGACCGTACAGTAAGGGTTTTGTTAAAGGGCTCATAGTTGGACACTTATCAGTGGCATGCATCTTGAGGAAAGGCCCAACCAAAAGCCATTGCTTCATGCCAAATATTCAGAAATAAATTCTCCCCTGGATGCAAAGTCATTTTCCACTGTAGGTTATGTGTTAAAGTTACTTTTTTTTTACGCAATGAATTGGCGCCTAATATTGTATGTGTCAATGGGCAATTGTGAGAGCAAAAAATGTTTATCACTTAATACTGTACAGTATCCATAATAGTGGTGCAGAGTAGATGACATGTACAGTACACTGTTTCTGTATTAGCTGTCTGTTTCCCATGGGGTGTCCCAGGAAGAAACCTTGGGGGGAATAATTCTTCAGGTGGTAGTGTTTCCCAGGCAATGAGTAAAATATTAAAATTTCCATGTGCAGTGAAAATATAGTACAGTACATTCATGTATATGTATGCTCTGTAAAAAAGTATCTTTCATGAGGGCTCCGATGAATTTTGAATTGAACAATCCACACCAATGAGAGGTATATGCCTCTTGGGCCTTTATCAAAAGCCTTCGTTCGTGGTGTCATTTTGTTTCTCAAGAATTGTAAAGATAGTTTTTTTACCGAGTGTACAGTACTGTATTGTATACTGAACACATAATATACATTTAGCTACTGTACATACCTGTACATACAGGCAGTCCCCAATTTACAAAGATCCAGATTTTTTTTAAATCTTGAGTTATGAATAAAAGATTTCTCGGGTTCTGATTTACATAAGAAAACTGAAGTTATGATTTTTTTTTCATAATCCTTTTTCGGTACCTATTGTTGCTGAGGTGCTTCCTGTACCTGGTCAGTTTGTGAAGACAATTAAATTAAACCAACATACAGTAGTACAGTACTGTACTGTGATGTATTAAGAGTGGTTAACTAAGCTAGAATTAAAATACATTAGTGTTTTGTTATCATGGCTCACTGGATAGCTGGGTGAAGCAGTGGCAAGGCATTGGCTAAGTATTTTTTATTTAAGAGTTTTTTTTTTACTGTGGGAGCTCTGATGTGATTGAGATCTCAGAGTTTGATCTGTTCTGTTGTCAGTGGAAAAAATAAAATGTTGTACGGATAAGTTTAGATTTTCTACTTCCGATAACACCTTATAAAACATCAAATCCAGTGAAAACACAACGTCTCAAGATGTACAGTACTGTACGTTTACTGTATGTAACTACAATACAATAGTTTTAGATTATTATTGTAGTGTATGAATTTCACCTATTACTTTTTTGTGGATACCAAAATTTTTAATTAAAAACGTTTTAAAACATTTTAAGACTTTTGGGGATTTTTCTTCTCCATAGGAATATACAATATCAATTTTTTTTAATGGATGTGCAGGGAAATTGGGATCTGATAGAAGAAAAATAAAATTTAATTTTTGTTTTTCTAAGGAAGAGAACCTTATCATAAATCCGGGACTGTCTGCACAAATACAGCTCCTCCCCGACTTACGACCTACTGTACTCGACTTACGTCCACCCGCACTTACGACCTGCCTCAGTCGTACCCAAATTTGGTCAAATTACGTATTTTCGAGTCCCAAAGTC